TCAAGAACACACCAAAAGACCATAAAGATTTCATCTTTAGGAAAAGATACCTTAGAAAGCACTAAAAACATAAAAGGAACATAGATCTTACCCTCCTAGATGCTCAAGAGTATGAAAGGTGGAATCTTGGAGACAAGCTTTGTAGATCTTGGAAACCACAAACTTAGCTTGAAGGAAAAGCTAGCTAAATTTCTAGAGAGAAGGAAGAGCTTTTGTTTTGAAAGTGTAAGGGAAAGAATGAAAGGTGTCTTCTAGGTTAGCTTGGAATACAATCATGAGGTGAAATGTCTTCATTGCCCTTACTAAGATGAAGAAGTGTAAGGGAACAAGGGAACTATTCACAAAGCTTAGAGTACAACTCATTGACTTGGGTTGACTAGTCAATTACTAGTCCCCGACTATAGAATTTTCAGGAATTAAAAGAATAAATCACCAATTAGATTAGGATTAATTACTTAATTAATCCCTAAAAATAGAATTTTGATTTACGGGGTGTCACAGTTAGGCCTATAATGGGTAGAAAAAATGGCGGTCAGATTTTTTAATAAAATGAATGGCTCAGATTGATCATATTTTAATTTTTCCATAAGAATTCCTAATTTATCCTTAATGAATATGATTATCCGTTAACTTTTCCGTTAAATATTATCTTTTCCGTTAATATTTTTGTTAGTTCACCGTTAACTTACTCATTAATTTCAATAAGAAAGGTCTTAGGTTCGAACCACATCCCAATCAAAGTTGGCATAATTAGTACTCTATTTTACTCTTATTAAATTAAATAATAATTTAGTAGCTACAACAAAAAAATAATACATATGCATTTCTTTAAATTAGAATTATGTGTCTACAATGTTTTTATTCAAAAAAAATTATTCATTATCAATAAATTAAATAAGAGAAATAATTCCATTAGTTATATTGTATTTATTTTCTCCAATATAAAAATTCTTTACATTCAAATTCATCAATTGATTATATTTGCTACATTGTCCCTACAATGTATTTATTAAAAAATATTATTCATTATCAATAAATTAATTAAGAGAAATAATTTTATTAGTCTCCAATGTAAAAATTCTTTACATTCAAATTCATCAATTGATTATATTCACTACATTGTCTATTTTTTTGTGCATTATTTTTAATTAAATATCAAAGTTATAATACAAAATAATGCTATATATTTATTTACCAAGTATTTTATTAATACCATGAAAAAATTAAAAAAATATAATTAATAAAGTCAATCATATTAACTACTTGAGGGATTTGTTGACAAAGAGAGTATTCAAATCACACAACAAATTGAAGTGAAAACTATCTCGCAATGTCCTTGTTTGACAATCAGCAGTTAGCGGTTAGCGTTAGCGGATTATATTAGCGAATTTAACCAGCGAATTATATCAACAGTTGGTAAAAAGATATTTGAAAAAATTAGCTATTTAGATTAACATGTAAAATGGCCTAAGGGTATACATATATTTAATATTTAATATTTAATAATAATAATAATAATAATAATAATAATAATAATAATAATAATAATAATAATTGTTTAAAAAAATAAAATAAAAATATTATTAAGCCAATCATATTAACTACCTGGGGGATTTATTGACAAAAAGAGTATTCAAATCACACAACAAATTGAAGTAGGAAATTATCTTGCAATGTCCTTGTTTGACAATCAGCAATTAGCTCTTCAATATTAATATATACGGAGTATTTAATATTTTATGCCCTAATTTTTTTTGCTCTCCCTTATGTCCCGTATTTGGTTTCAACCATACATATACAATTATTTTATTGACAATTATAATCAATATTGACTATATTATCTTGCATTTGTAAACTTAGAATTGCCATTTAAATACGTAAATTTAACATTCAATTATCTATGCATGAACAATTCAAATATAATCTTACCTTGATATACTTTAAAATATTTATTTAAAAAAATATTAGACATTATCTCAATCACGCAATGCGCATAAAAAACTAGTAATGACTATAACGGCCAAAAGGTTAACCACACTTCGCATGTGTGCGAACTGAACCGAGCCAACAACGATGACGGTGCACGCGTGGTTCCCCATACTTATTTCATTTCTATAACTCTTCAAATCCTCTAAAAAGTGTTGAACTTTATAAAGGAGAAATAGGTGAATTAAGAAATCGATGTGAAACAAGGGAAGACAAAATGGCCTTCATCTTTAAATGTTTTCCTAACAATTAAAATATTGATTGATGTATGGATTATGGACGGTGAGATGTGGCAATTAAAATTTAAAATATTGATTGATGTATGAATAAACATGTGGGGCCTGCGCGAATACGTTGCTTCAAATCCATTACATGAATACGTGATTCCTGGTAGTGGTAGACATTCAACTAATTAAAAGAAAATAATAAAATATATCTTCGTTGTGAAGCAATATGTGACATTGTGTGTTTGTGAGTTGTGACAACACTATGCAAACAAATTAAATGGAAAACATACATGTTCTATTAATGGGTTGCTCTATCGTATAATGACAACCTTGCTGAGTTAGTTTGTCCTTTTCTTTTTAAACCAGACAATTATAAATAATTTAATTAATTAATCTCTTTTTGTAATTCTTTGTCTGTTAGAGTCTTCAGATACATTTTACTCAAAGCATGTATATATTTAGGTAATTGTTGCAGACTTTCTCGTAAATCAAAGTTATATCATTTAAACCAAATTTTATATGAGTTAATTCCAGCAATGGTCCTCTGACTATTGCGATTTTTCAAAATTGGTCCTCGTCTTTTAATTTGGACAAAATAGACCCTTGACTATCAAATTTGTTCCAGCATTGGTCATTCCGTCAACTTTCAGTTAGTTAGGTGTTAGTGTATGGGTTAAAATGGTCATTTCATTAGATTCTTTCTTCTTCCTCATTTCTTTCTTCTTGCAGGCAACGGTTGGATTCACACTATTTGGCAAGGAAACTTTAGCAGATCTAGATGTCAAATAAATTGTTGCCATGCTGTATTTCCCAAGTATATATACCGAGCAATACTCATATATTATCTGGAATTTGAGAGTAGTAGTCAAAAGTGATAAGTTAAAATCGAAAATGGCCAAACATGAAGGACACTCACTTTTGCAGTGTTTTCCTGTGTATAAATATGCATATGTGTTCCTATTCCCATAAATAAAGGTGATAATTTCAACCAAAGGCTGCTCCTTCAACAACCTGTAAGTTCCTCTGCTTTTTTCCTTTTCAATTTTATAGTTGTATGATTTTTTTTTTCTTTTTCTTTTTAATCTGATGTTCTTGTTCCATTCGTAGTTCATATGCATGAAATGTAATTAGTGATTTTTTTTTTTGGCTGAAGGATTGTGTTTGCAGCCTTTTAAGTGTTGAATCTATAGGAGTAATTTACTTCCCTGATTTTGCTCCAACTTTTCGTCTGTAATCCCCCTTATTATACATGCATGTAGAATTCATAATTGTGATGTGAATCTGGGATTAGTTACTCACTGAATTGTGATTATCTATGTTGTTTTTGGTTGGAATCTAGACTTTGGGATGATTTTTTCCATTTTAGAGCTTGATGATTGCTTTTCTTTGTCCCCCCCCCCCCCCCCGCTCCCTCTTTTTTATTCCTCTTTTGTCCCCTCCCTCTTTTTATTCCTCTTTTGTTATCCATTGAAATGGTCCTAAGAGATTGGTTTTTTATTCGCGGTAGCACAAGAGCTGAGTTCTTACTTTCTTTCTTTTTTTTTTTTAGAAAGAAGAAAGAAAGAGGAAAGAAGTTAATGAAATGACCATTTTAACCCCTACACTAACACTTAACTAACGAAAGGTTGACGGAATGACCAATGCTGGAACAAATTTGATAGTCAAGGATCTATTTTGTCCAAATTAAAAGACAAGGATTAATTTTGGAAAATCGCAATAGTCGGAAGACCATTGCTAGAATTAACTCAATTTTATATTATTTCAAGGGATAAAGTACAAATAAGCCACTGAACTATTTGAGAAACAGCAATTAAGCCATCGAACTCAAATAACCCTCAAATAAGCCATTGAACTCCCAAAAAAAGAGCAAATAAGCCATTGAACCCTAAAAAAAAGAGCAATTAACATTTTTTACAGGTTAACATACACCAGGTTTTTGCTGATTGAATTGTCAAATGTTTATTTTATTTACGTTTATTATTATTATTTTTATTAATATTATCTACTTGGATAGTATTATATTTTAAAATAATTATAATCAAAATAGTTTTGTCTTGTCGAGATTTGATTTGTTTATTTATTATTATTTTTTCACTAGATCTTTTGTTTAAAAAATAATAATAAATAAATAATTAGATCTAGACAACACAAAACTACTTTGATTATAATTAGTTAATTACTTTAAAATATATTACTATGTAGATGGATTATAATAATAAAAAACGTAAATAAAATAAACATTGAACAATACAGTCAGCAAAAACCTAGAGTTAACATGTTAAAAATGTTAATTGCTCTTTTTTTCCGGGTTCAATGACTTATTTGGGGGTTATTTGAGTTCGATGGCTTAATTACTTTTTCCCAAATAGTTTAGTGGTTTATTTGTACTTTATCCCTTATTTCAACAAAGTTGGGTTACGATGAACTTTTTTTAGATCAAATATTATAATTAGACATACTTTATTATAAAATACAAATATTTGATGTTAAATTGTTAAAATTTAAAATTAGTATCTAATTATTATGCATAATTCAATAAAATTGTCACAAACATAGATATTTGATATTAGATTATTAAATTTTAAAAATCTACAAGATATAAAATATTAATTCCACCAATAAGTGTTTTTTTTTTTAAAAAAAAAAATTTGCTCAAAATATTTTTACTATTTTATCGGGAGAGTACAACATTATGATAAAATTAATATATTAGAAAAAAAAAAAAAAACAATTTAAGGAAGTATACAGTACATTAGTACACGGACGTTATTTTATATATAACGTCCATTGATGCAAACTGCCGAGCCAGGCAACTGCCGCCCTTGCAAGTAAACTGTGAGCTTCGTCTCTTCTTTACTTTCCAACCTATACATACATCCACTTGTACCTATAGAAAAGGTACACGGCCGTTGTACAGAGTACATAATCAAGTGCATGTCGGAGAGAGAACTCCGGAGAAGGATTCCGGTGAGCCGGATTGTTAGAAGCAGAGCACCGCATCGATCGTCGCTGTCACCGTCACCGTCACCGTTAGGTCATCGGAGAAGTAGGCCTGTGCCTGTGCCTGTGCGACGCCGATCATCGAAGCAGCCGTTGATTAGGGCTTTGAAACGATGCGGATCGGAGCCGCTCTTGCCTTCTGCCGCCTCCTCCCCGGACGACGGTGGCTGGAATTTGACGCCACCGCAGCAGGAGGTGCTTTTCCGTCCGCATACTTGTACAGATATATTTTCGACTCCGGACTATTTCGTGAAGATATCTCCGGCGAATCACCATTTCCCGGTATGATCAGATATATCATTTCAATTTTCTGTTTATCGATTTTGATCTCTCCAATTTTCGCTGTTATATAATAATTGGGCGGTTTATTTATTTATTTTTTAATAATTTAGCATTTATATCTTATTTTGAAATGATATAGAGTTAATTTCAGGAATGGTCCATTAATTATTCTTATTTATGAATTTTTATCTTTCGATTTTCAATTGGACTATAAATGGCCTTTTGTCTATGAATTTTTACTAATTTTCGTCCTCAACTTTTAATTTAATCATAAGTGATCCATTTACTATTGATTTTTTTTAAAATTTGGTCCTCTAGTTAAATATCATTTTAATAAACATTAAATTTAAGGGTAATGATGTAAAAATTTTAGTTCTTCACAATGATGAACTCAATGTATTAAATTTATGAATTCAATTCGTCAATCTCAACAACAAGCTTAGTTTGACATTATTATTCATTCAATTTTCAATCTCACATCAAACTTAGTTTGACATTATTATTCTTAAATTTAAGGTTTATTAAATTGATATTTAACTGAAAAACAAAATTTGGAAGAAAATCAATAGTTAAGGCACCATTTATGGTCATATTGAAAGTCGATGACAAAAATAGGTAAACATCAATAGTCAAGAGGACCACTTATGGTCCAATTGAAAGTCAAAAGATAAAAATAGATAAATATCAACAGTCACTTGATCATTCTTGAAATTAACGATTATATATATATATATATATATATATATATATATATATATATATATATATATATATATATATATATATATATATATATATTAGCATAATAATACATTTGGATCAAGTATAGTACTAGAAGCATTAAAAAATTAGTACAATTAACAAATTGAAACATTATATACTTGTTTTATAATTAATTAATTATCTTGTAAAAATGGGAAAATTTGTGTCCAATAAATACACAGTGAAATTGTAAAAATTGCAACCCACGATGCAATGACAAACAATATGGGGAAAGCTTCTGAAAATTGCAATTTTTAAAAAATTATTTTTTCCACCGTACAAGACAGCAAGTTGAATATTTATAATGCAAATAAACATCTAAATTATTTGGTGAGCAAGTTGAATATTTATAATGCAAATAAACATCTAAAATATTTGGTGAGCAAGTTGAATATTTATAATGTGTAGATTTGATCGAAATGCAGGGGTACAACAAGGAGTCCAAAGTGGTGGTTAATGTGACATTTGAAGGATGTCCTGGTCCTGTTCGCACCATGGTCAAGTTAGGAACAAGTGTGGACGAAACCATTCGTCTTGCCATTAACAAGTACAGTGAAGAAGGTCGCTCTCCTCATCTCAATACCAATGGTGTCTCATCCTTTGACTTGTACCAATCCAACTTCAGTCTTCAAAGTAAGTCTTTATTTTATTTTTTTATTTTTTTCTGTATGATGATGAGAGAAACACGGGGTGACTCTAGTCGGCAAAGGACCCCAAGGACTGTAGCCGGCAATTCGGCAAAGGACCTAGTAAACTAACTTAAATTGCTCATATATAGTTGACTGGCTCATATTAAGAAGACTTAGATTCGAACTCGTGACCTTGTGATTATAAGTTTGTATCTTTAGTCAATCTTGACTGGGGTACCCCTTTATATCTTTTGATAACAAGGGAAACTTGTAGCAATTATTCAAGACTGTGTATTGGGTAAACCCCTTATGACTCACTTTATTCAATAAAGGACCAAAAGGTAAACAGCTGAACTTATAATTTTGTGATTACCAAGTAAATAAGCTGATCAGATCAGATCAATTTGGGTGCTGTTGCCCCAATAAGCTCTTCCTTTCTACCTCAGCATAAATGTCTCTCTCTGTCATGGCCAAATTGTTTATATACATATATATATATATATATATATATATATATATATATATATATATATATATATATATATATATATATATATGTATAAGTTGAGTGTTTGGTTGATTCTTACAGGCCTGAGTAAGTCGGAGTTGATAGGAGATGTTGGCAGCAGAAGCTTTTATCTCCGGAAGAGCAGTAAAAATATGAGCAGAGGAGAGGTATCCACAACCTCTCTCAATTCAGACTCTGATGAATACGTTTCCCTTGCTGAATTCTTCTCTCGAAAGATCAACAAAATCTTAAGAAGATCTGGTAAGCTCTGCCAATTCTTTGGGTGCTTCCAGTGCTAAGGATAATTAAACCTATTATACCCCTTTTTACTGTACTGGAGGGAGTAGCATGGTAGTTTTAGATCACTGCTACTCTGCTCTCATCATATAGCTTCAATTACTAGTATTGCCTGGGTTTTCTTTCCATCAAACAAAATGAAAATATTTCCCCCTTTTTTTGGGAGTTGGGAGATTCTTTAAATACAAGTTCCCCACCCTCTGTATCATTGTATGTATCCATTATAAGTATATTTATACAAATTAAACATTCCATGTACATGTGTATGTTTTATAACATAATTAACTTATCAGTCAATTTTTGTTTATTTAACCACTATTAATTGTTAGAATTGGGTTAAACACTCAATATAAATGTTTGATTAATTAGCTTTTTGTAACAACTTAATGCTCTAAAATGCTATAATTCAAAAAATCTGTTCAAGTAACTTTTTCCATAAGTTTTTAATTTTGAGAAAGTCATTTTGAATGTAATCAATTAACAACTAATTTACCATATATCTTTTTGCAATCAACTAATTAAACCCACTAACTCAATCAACTAATAGCTAACAACTATTTACTAAACACCCCAAATTTTTGAATGTATAGCTAAATTTCTAGTTCCCTTAATTTGGATTAGTTGCATTGAGTTACACGGGTGGCTAACTTAATATTCTATCGCCCTGTTTGGTAAAATGGCGGTTAGCTGATAGCTGTTAGCTGATTGTGTTAATTAGAGGGTATAAATAGTTGATAACATTAGCTGATTGTAGAAAACTGTTTGGTAAATTAGCTGTTAGCTGATAGCTGTTTGGTATAATTTCTTTTCTCAAAAAGTTAATTGAAAAAGTTGCTTGGAGTAGCTTTTTGAATTTTAGCATTTTGGAGTTGTCAAAAGCTAATTAACCAAACATTTATATTGATATTTTAACTAAATTAAACAATTAATAATGGTCAAATAAGTTAAAATTGACCTATAGACCAATTTTTTACTAAACAGAGCCTATATCTCTCTATCGTATGAGAGACTAATTGAGATTTGTCTCGTAAACATAAGGCACACTCTTAACAAATATTGAATCTTTAACATTACAGTTACATTACCGATCAACTTACAAATTATTTTAAATTGTGGTGTTTGGTTCAGGTTATATAAGATAACCAAAACTATATTTGTTTGGCAATAAAAGATTTTCATATTTGATTCAAGTTATGCAATTTCCCTAGGAATGTAACATAACCTTTGAATAAGGTTTTTAATTATTGCAAGGGAGTGTAAAATACCCTCCATTTTTTTAGGTATTATTATATTCCCTTGTGTTATTGCTAATTTTTTCAGGAGCTAGATCAGTTTCATAGGCCGTGGCGATTTCCCCCCTAGGGGCCCGCCTATCGCCTAATTCGGCCGAGTTAACCAGGCCGACTCGACCTTGCTAATTTTTTTTAATTTTTTTCATTACCTACACACGTGCAACCATGAGTTTGAGTGAGAGAAAAGAAAGCTAGAAGAATACTAAAGCAAAGCAGTAGGATTCGAACAGCCGACCTCTTGGCATATGCTACTGTTCACCCGTGTTTCCCCTCCATCCCTCTATTTGGAGAAGCCCAAATTTGTTCTCTCCAAATTTGTACATAAAGTGGAAAAATGGAGAAGGAGTAAGCATTTGGAAGAAAAAATTTAATAAACAACTTCTCCAATTTTTATTTTTTCCACTTCTCAATTTCTCCATTTTTTGAAAAATCCTCTATTTTTTCAAATTGATAAACGACCCCCTAACATTTTCAATAATGTAACATTCCAGCAATATAATATTTCCTGAATTAAAACCAAACGCCACAATTACATATGGTTATCATTTGAAAGTTATCCTTAGTTTTGCCAACACGAAGAGGCAACTGAGAAAGGAATCTTAGCCTGCAGTTTCCCGGAACCTTCGCATGTCATGATTTCATTCGACAGACATATCCCAAATTATTATGGTATATCATTGTCTCTATCATATTCTTCTTTTCATTATTTGTTTTTATTTATTAATAATAATTCTTTGAAATTCAGCATTTGTTCAATAAGATTACATGAATCCTTTTTTTTTTTTTGGTGTTAATTGTTACTCCGTATATAGTAATTTCATTTTTATCAATATTGATTCATCTTTTATAGATAATTAATAAAATTAAATACTTATAAAAATTCCATATAAAAAGTTTAGTTCTTGTTTAATAATATACTTAACTTATCAGTTAATTTTGACTTGTTAAATTACTATTAGGTCTTTGATTTGATTAGATCGTCAATTCGAGTGTTTGGTTAACCAACTTTTTGTAATAGCTTATTGCTCTAAAATGTAAAAAAAAAATCGCTCAAAACAGCTTTTTCTATCAACATCTTGATAAAATAAAGTACACCCTTAAAAATTATTTTACATGTAATCAACTATCAGCTAACAACTAATTTACCAACTAAAAATTATTGCTCTACAACTAACTAATATTATCAAATAGTTAAACTCATTAACAGCTATTTGTAAACTACATCTTTAAAGTAGCTTATTGACCACTTAAATCTACCAAACTTGGGCCTTAGCATAAATAGAAACTTCTATTTCGTATCCTATCACAAATATAATACAAAAATATGTAGTTTGGGAACGGAATTTCCAGTATAGATCTTCGGATTCTTTGAGGAATATTGAGAATGACATCTTCATTCCCTGCAAAACATCGGATGCCGGCCGCCATGCACGGTGGCGTCAGGCTCCCTCCGAGACTCGCCGACGCACGTACGAACTCGGAGCTCGTAAGCGAGTTTGTGAATATTCCGACGAGGAAGCCGGTGACGACGGCGAGCGGAGGTGGGGAGTGTGAGCAGAAGTTGACGAAGCTGTTGTTGAATGTGAACATTCAGAACAGTTTGGGACCGGTGCACGTGGTGATGTCGCCGGAAAACAGCGTCGCCGATTTGATAAGGGCGGCGGTGGAGATTTACGCGAAGGAGAAGCGGCGGCCGTTGCTGGCTAGCACTGATCCCGCCCGTTACGAGCTTCATTACTCGCAGTTCAGTCTTGAGAGTGAGTTTTCGAACTTGTTTCAGTACGGTGCCGTTTTATTTCTTATATTATCATTGCATTTATCATAGCCTCGTAGCTAGGATATAAATATTTAGAGAAAAATGGTTAAATTGCGCCCCTAAGTCTAACAGATACTGCAATTCTCCTAAGCAAAATAAAAAATTTCACCAAATCTGTAAAATTTTTCTATTAAGTACAATCAAATGTAGTCCTTGAATGAACAGATACTACATTGTAATAGGGTCAGTAGCATTCAAAAAAAAAAATGTGGTCCTTGATTATTAAAAATATGTCAATTTTGAAATGTGTAGTGTTAACTAAGTGATTATTTATTTTTTTTTTTTTTGCATAGCAAGTAAATATTTTTCTAAATTGAATAATTAAAATAATATTGTATTCACCTGGGATTTATTATCAGTTAGAAACTATACTTATTTTGTTCACTTCTTCAACTTTTCTTCTTAAATTTGTCGATTTTTTTTTTTATAAAATTATTTTTGAAGAATAAGTTAGAAAGGATTTGAATCTTACACTGTACAATTGTTAGGATGAATCTTGCGTTATATTTGACTGCCTTGTTGGTTGCAGGTTTGAAGCCAGAGGAATTCCTGAAAAACTTGAAATCAAGAAAATTTTTCTTGTGCCTAAATTCAAATTACACCATGATGTAATTAAGTTCTCAATGTTACCAACTTGTATTTCAACATCGCATGTAAAGTAATTTAAATTTGAAACTCAATGTTTCGTTACACCTAAGTGCATCTTTATGTCACAAATGAAAAGAATTAGGGTGAAGTGTCAAATAGCACCATGAACCAATAGCGAAATGTCATGCCGCACCTTAATCTTACATAAGTGATGATTCGATGCACAAACTAAAAAATTTTGTCCGCCTAGAACTTTTTGTAGGTTTCCCGGTATCGCTGATGACATGGCGCCGGTTTTATATGACGTGGAGTTTGTTTTTATTAATTTGTCCCAAATTGAAGTTTTTAGAAAGTTTTGGGTTATGTTTTTAATTAATAAAAAATTCAATCCCTAGCCTGCAACTGCTAGGAATTGAAGAGTCAAACTCTCGGACCTTCTTAAACGCTTTAATGCTCTTGGACAACCAACTGCTCGTCGTCTCGTCCTTTGGATTTTCCGACGTCGAGATAAGCTCCCAAGTCCGAACCGACGACCCCCCGGCGAACCCGAAACAAGGAATCCAGAAACAACACCCCCGTTTCCCGCACTCCACTTCCTGCGTTTCTTCATTTACATCTACATCTTTCGCCGGCAATTCTGGGACGGCATTATTGTCCTCCATACCCGACCGATTTCAAGGATAAAAATCAGCAAATTTACAATCTCTGCTGCAAACTGTAAGCCCTAATTTAGGGTTCTGTGGTTTGCAGAGAGAAAGACCAGCTTGTACATCTGGAAGCTAGGGACAACCTCGTAACGCTAATTCATCTGTGTGCTGTGCTTTTAATTTTGGTGAAACTTATTTGAGATTCGGTGAATATAAGTGCATGGTTCTTGATTTGTACTATCTTTCCAAACAGTACATACAACAAGAATTCACAAATCAATCAATCAATCCACCATTAACTATTTGGTTAATTTTCATAAAGTGTTTATTTTGTTGGGCAACAGTTGAAGCATTGCCAAGTGCCAACAGACATACATTATTAATTACACCATAAAAAGTAGCGTCATAAAGCAAACAACACAGATGTTCGTACGTTTGAATTGAAACAAGGACTAGATCAGAACAGATCATGGAATGATGTTCATTTCTCGCAATTTCTGCACTCACACTCTAATCCTCTTCAACGTATCATCATATCCAAGAACCCTTTCGACAACTTGTAGGGCTAACCAGAAAACATGGGTGACTTCATGGGAGATTTTTGAGAGGCTTTTCTGTGTATTCTCGAAGTTGAGAGCATCAAAAGTCATATACTCGTCGAGGAAAGAAGACGGAAACCAAGAGGGTAAAGGCCGCCTGGCAGCGCCGTAGACCTTCCACGGTCCGCCGAGAGCTGCCGATTGTTTTAAAGCCTCCACCATCGCTACCCCAACCATCCCGGTTGCGCCGACAACCAGTGCCACCGCTTTCAAACAGTTTTCAATTCCTAGTAGTTGCAGGCTAGGGATTGAATTTTTTATTAATTAAAAAAATAACCCAAAACTTTCCAAAAACTTTAATTTGGAACAAATTAATAAAAACAAACTCCACGTCATATAAAACTGGTGCCATGTCATTAATAATACCGGGAAACCTACAAAAAGTTCTAGGCGGACAAAATTTATTAGTTTGTGCATCAAATCATCATTTATGTAAGATTAAGGTGTAACATGACATTTCGCTATTGGTTCATGGTGCTATTTGACACTTCACCCAAAGAATTATAGTTTGGTTTATGTACCATAAGTTTATGAGTTTAATTCTTGTTCATATATACCTTTTCAGTCAAGTTCATCGCACAGGACTTTTCTAGTGCTATTTCTTATATGTGATTTGTGGATTATTATACAAGAACACAATTTACCCAGCATACACTTTCAAATAACTAGTGACCGTGAATTTCTCTTGTCATAAAAAAAAAAAAAAACTTGTAAATCATTAAAGATTGATAAACTCTTTATCTTGATTTTGGTTTGCAACAATCTTCACTAAAGCGCTAGAACTTCTTAATGGCTTTCTGAATAATAATTTATTTGAATTTAAGTAACTACTATACATAAAAATCAAAAAAGTAAATTTCACTTTTAATTATAGATTATTGTGAAATTATAATATTGACTTTTATTTATTAGTCACAATTAGTTATTCATTTATATTTTTATCATTCCACTATTTAATAAAGATGATTAACATGTAATTCATTATTCAATTAAAAAGAATTTACTAGAGAGTAAGAGAAAATTATATGTTGGGACAAGACGGTTAAATGATTAAATCACATGGTAGTCATCTTTATTAGTTGAATGATAGACATTTAAACGGATAACTAATTGTGACAAACAAATAAAATTTGATAATGTAATAAGACATTTAAAAAAAAAAAAGTAAGACTAAATGTGATAAATGTCACTATAGTCAAGGATTATAATTGAAAATTTCTCAATTCAAAATTCCCTTTTACTTTGTTTCTAAGCATTTATTTATAGATATTGAAACAACGAGGCCTATTTTTTGAAAGCCAAAAATCATTGTGGATTTAACAACGAAGTCAGAATAAAGTCAGGGGGAATAGAGTCTCCGTACAGTGTTAGCCTGAGAATAGGCCGTTGTAGCCATAGAGTGAGCTAGAGAATTCAAAGCACGAGGATTGAAAAGAACAGAACAAGAAATAAAAGAACGCATAAGGCTCCTACAATGATCAATAACTATACCAACATAGGACCTAGAACACGCAAATGATGTGCCAGGTAGTGGCAAAGGGTTTAACAATCCGAGAGAACACGCACAGCCGTAACATCACGAGTCCTTAGCCAAGTCAAGGCTTCTTTGCAAGCCTGTCAATACCGCAACCTTGTTGGAGCACTTCAGCACCTAACCATCCCTTGTTCAGATCTCTCATTTGAAGTCAACAAACTTTGTCAATTCATACACTCTCCAAAGACTAAGAAGTGGGTGGCACTCAAATGAGTTCTAAGGTATGTCAAAGGGACTCTAGACTGTTGAATTTGAAAGATCCAAAGGCCTGGCGGGTGGAGAATAACAACCACCCGCCAGTTAGGCGGAAATAGAGATAAGAATCAAGAGATGAGAAAATATATATTGTACGAAATTGAATTGAAAGTTTATAAATCTGTGTTAGAAAGGGATAATACACAACCCTATAAATACATGTTAGAAGACTTCTAATATAAAATAAGTTCCTTATGACTACCTACTCAAAATCCTAAAACTCCATGCTGCCTAATATATATAGATTCCATATTTCTTATATATTCCATAACACTCCCCCTCTAGTTGGAGCATAGATTTAATCATGCCCAACTTGTTACACAAATAACTAATAATCCAAAAATAACTAAATAACTAACTCAAATCCCATTTAGGATACTCCCCAGAAACGAAAGCTTTGGACGCCACCAATACCACGGACAACCGAGTGAACTCAAAGTGGACCAAACAAGCCTAGGATTGAACACTCCCCCTACAACAGAAGCTTGGACGCCACCAGTACCATAGGCAAACACCGGGTGAACTCAATGTGGACTGAACAAGATTGGGATTGGACCCTCCCCCTGAACCGGAAGCTTGGACGCCACCAACACCGCACGCAAACTCCAGATGAACACAAATTGGACCGAACAAGCTTGAATACACAAGGTAAAGAAGACAAACTCTGAAAATGGAGGACACAATTTCTTTACCAACAGTTAGGCGAAAGTAGAGATAAGAATTAAGGGATGAGAAAATATATTGTACGAAATTGAATAGAAGGTTTATAAATCTATGTTAGAATGGGGAATACACAACCCTATAAATACATGTTAGAAGACTTCTGATATGGAAATAAGTTTCCTTATGACTACCTACTCAAACCCTAAAACTCTAAGCTGCCTAATATATATAGATTACATATTTCTTATATATTTCATAATGTTAGGAATAAAATGTAAAGTATTGATGAGCTAATTGTATTTTGAAAATCTAGTATTCCCCAATTTTATTCCATTAGAGTCAGTTCTGGGTTCATTAGAGTATGGTGTACCCATGCAATGAAACCCATGCAAAATGCTTAGTCTTGAAGCTCATATTTTATAAGACTTAAGCGGGATGATAACTTAAACCATTTTGGAGCGCATAAGACACCAAAGGTCAATTCGGAGGAATTTGAAGAAGACTTGATATTAAGCTAGCCGTGTGATCCAAAGTTCAACTCCTCTCCTGAGTATTTTTGACTAAGCATACACTAGACGAGGCAGATGGATGGATTAGATGAGGTAAATGGTCAAAGGCGATGCACTATAATCTCCAAATCAATGCACTAGATGAAGTCCACTATCAGACGAGGGAAGACTAGACTAAGCGGAAAGCAAGGTGATGCACCGCAACGCACAAAGGAATGCACCGGACCAGTCAACTAGACTAAACATCACTAGAAGTGTGACACCCCATAAATCTAAATATTAATTGAGGAATTAATCCAAGCTTTCTTTGCTAATCCATTTCTAAAAATCCTGAACTTTAATAGTCAAGGGACTAAATTTTGACTAGTCACTTAAATCTATTGAGTGTACCTTGTGCTTCATGAGTTGTGCCCTTGTCCCCTTGTCTTTCCAACTTTAGTAAGGGTAAAAGTGGCTTTTCACCCATGAATTGTTGTTCAAGCTACGCTAGCAAGACATCTCATTTCATTCATTCACCATTCAAGCCTAAGTCTTAAACACTCTAGCCTCTCTCTAAAATAACCGAGCTTATTCTTCAAGCAAGAAGGTGAACCTCCAAGCCTTGTAAGATCCTTCACCAAGATTCCTACTTTCTTCTTCTTGAGCATAGGAAAGGTAAGGTTCTTAGCTTTTTGGTGTTTTTATCCATCTTTTGGGTGTCTTTATCTAAAGTTAGAATCTTTCTTGAGTTTTGGTTTGTGTAAGAAGTTGGTGTGGAAGAAGAGCTCTAAGAAAAGACTTAAGAGGGTGAAAAGGAGAAGTTGTTAGGCTACAAAGGTCACCCATGCTTTACAAAACCTATTTTCTAACCTAAATGATGATTATTGGCTTCTACTTGATGTTCTTGATGTAATTTGTGAGATTTAATGCATGATCTTGTGATGATGCA